GTGTAAATGTATCACATTTTCATTATCTGTTTGTCAGTTGAGGGACATTTAGGTTGTTTTCCATTTCTTAGCTATTGTGAAGACAGCAGTAACAAACATGGATGTACATACAGGTATCTCTACAGTATGATGAGTTCTTTGATATAGGCCAAGGAGCGGTATCACTGGATCATATGGCACATTCATTTTTAGTTTTTTTGAGGTTTTGCCACACTGTTTTCCATAGTGGTTGCACAAATTTGAATTCCCACCAGCAGTGAATGAGTGTTCCTCTTTCTCCACATATTCTCCAGCATTTAGAGTTTTCCTTCTCTGTGATTTTGACATGTGGATTTCTTTTGTAGTTTTTGATTCTTGTGTGAGACTCAGGCCTTCAAGTTTAGGTCTGCTTCTTTTTGTGAACTTTACAAAGTGTCTTTGTTGTTTACTTTTTGGGCATGAAAAGCTGGTTTGTCTAAGCTTGAGGCTCTCTCTTTTGATTTTATATTGGAGTGGCCGGATTGCTTTTGTCTTCAGGAGTTCCCACAGAGGCCCTATTCAGGTGAGGGTCAGATGTTTTCAGGCTTTCTCCTAAGGTCTGGATCTCTCCAGGAACAATTTTGTCCTCAGGAATTTGGGGGTTGGACTGGCCTGGGAGCCTGGCCCGGGAAAGGTGCTGTTCTAGGGCAGCTGTTGGCTGTGCCATGGAGAGATGCAAAGGCAGATGGTACAGGAAGAGGCCCCAAGGTCTCTTGGGGACTGCACTGAGGAGCTGGGTTGGTCTGGATGCAAAGGATCAGGAAGAGGAAAGGTCAGCCCCAGTGTCCCAGAAAGATGCTGGCGGGTGGTGCAGGCCCAGGGAAGCAGAGGGTGTTGAGGGCGGGACCAGGCCCAGAAACAGTGCTCCTTGGGCCCAGAGAAGGCACTAAGTTGGTCTTGATGAAAAGGATCAGGGAGCAGTATTGGTTCCCCAGGGGTCTGGTGCTCCAAGACAAGGAATAGGGCAGGGCCCAAACTCGGAGGAGAGAAAGGCTGTGGGGATGGGAGGGTGAATGAGGCTGGGGGAGTCAAGGCAGGGAGGGTGCAATGGATTTACCCCAGAGAGAGGCCTGCGGGTAGGAGCATAATTTTATTAATTTTAGTCTTTTGGTTAATTTGTCTATAGGTTCGTTGATTTTATCTTTTCAAAGAATCATCTCTTTGTCTTTAAAAATATAGTATTTATTTATTTATTTATTTATTTATTTATTTATTTATTTATTATTTGGTCTTTTTGAGACAGGGTCTCCCTGTAGCCCCAGCTGGCCTGGAACTCACCATGTAGACCAGGCTGGCGTTGAACTCACAGAGATCCGCCTGCCTGCCTCCTGAGTGCTGACATTAAAGGCGTGCACCACCATGCCCAGCTATTCATTATTTTTAATGTGTGTCAGTGCATTGCCTGCATGTATATCAGTGCATGGATGTTGTGCAATGTCTTCGGAGGTCATGAGAGGGCGTTGCATCTCTTGGAACCAGAGTTATGGTTGGTTGTTAGCTGCCAGGTGGGTCCTGGGAATTGAACCTAGGTCCTGTGTAAGACCAGCCACTGCTCTTGACCATTGAGCCATCTCTCCAGCCCCTCGTTGGCTTTTTTTTTTTTTTTTTAAAGACAGGGTCTCTTGCCAAGCATAGTGGTGCATGCCTTTAATCCCAGCACTCAGGAGGAGTAGTGAGTTCTAGGCCAGTCTGGGCTGCAGGGAGATCCTACCTCAAATAAAAAAGGCAGGGTCTCATGTATCCCAGGCTGGCCTCAAACTGCTGTGTAACTAAGGCTGACCTTGAATTTCTGATCCTCCTGCCTCTGCCTCCAGAATGTTTGGATTACAGCCATATGTCACCACACCCAGTTTATATGGTCCTAGAGATCAAACCTAGGACTTTGTGAATGCTAGGCAAGCACTCAATCAACTGTGTTATATCCCTTGCCCTCTTTGTTGCATTAATTCTTTACGTTGGTCTTTTAGTCTCCATTTCTTTAATTTCTTTTTTAAAAAGATTGTTTTATTTTTTCAGATTCACTTATTTTTAATTATCTATGTGTGTCTATGGGTATGTGCACATGAGTGCTGGAGTTACAGGTCGTTGTGAACCACTTAATGTTTGTGGGTGCTGGGAACTGAACTTGGGGGCCTCTGCAAGAGCAGTGCATGCTTTTAATCACTGACCTATCTCTTTGGCCTCTCCATTTCATTAATTTCTACTATTTTTTTTTCTTCACGGTACTTTTGAAGTAATAGTTTTGAAGTTCTGTGAAATCAGGATTTGTTTATTTTTCTCTTTGCTTGTAAGTTTAGAAAATCTTCATTTTAAAAAAGATTTGTGTGTCAGGTGTGCGTCTTTGTCTTTGGGTGGTAAGAGTATATACATGTTTGTGGGTATTCATGCCTGTGAACATATGGAGGCAAGAAGAGGGCATTCATGTCCTTCTCTCTAATTCTCTCCCTATTCCTTTGAGGCAAGGTCTCTCTGATCCTGGGGCTTGTGTTTTCTCAGATAGTCTAGGAGCTATCAAGCCCCAGTAATCCGTCTGTTTCTGGCTCCCTTGTAATACCTGGCTTGTTATGTGGATGCTGGGATCTGAACTTTGTTCTGCATGATTGTACAGTTGCTCTCAACTGCTGAGCTCTCTCTCTTTCTCTCTCTCTCTCTCTCTCTCTCTCTCTCTCTCTCTCTCTCGCCTTTAAAATCTTTATATTTTCTACAGAAAAGGATTAAATGCATTTTGAAATCCTTAAAACTCTTGTTTATCCATTATGTAGCTGAACAGTTTATGATATAAATGATAGTTACACTATTGGTTTCTTAAGTGTTAACACATAAAAAATAAAAATAATAAAATATTTTTAAAAAGTTGGAATTCTTTGAAGCCTTGTTCTATAATTTATTAATCTTTCTATCAGTTCTTCATATAATTATTCTAATCCAAGCAGAAGATAAAATAATTAAAAACTAATGAGGCCCTCAAGAGAATAAAATAATATACTTGACAAATCATTTTCTTGTATAAAGGGGAAAAAAGCTTTCACTATTTTTGATCTTGGCCTGCTTAAAATTTTCTTGAAAAGGTGATCTACCAATGTTTTGGTTTCTAAGGCTTTTGCAAATAAAGATTATAAGTTTGAGGAAATAATTACTAAAGTTGTTAATCATAATGAGAAGATATGTACAGGCCCAACTAGTTATTGAAAAGTAAAGGTGTACAAATTTAAATGTGAATATCTTTTTTATCACTGTAAATTTTTTTTCGATTTCTTTTGAAACTCTTGTGCTAATAAGATTGCTTTTTCTTAAAAATTAGGTGATACTTTTTTTTTGTGGTGCTGGGAATTAAACTCCCAGCATTATACATGTAAGGTAAATATTTTTACCACTGATCTACATTCCCAGTGCTTTGTGATAAACTTTACATTGCATTAAATTATTTTGAAATGAACTTTTATTTAAGCATATCATATTCAACATGTTGAAAGATTTTAATATCTTGGAAATGTTTAGCGAGTAGTAGCATTTTCCTTCAATAATATTTTGATCTTAACCTAGGTAAGTGTACAGGTAGATTGTCTTATTTGTATTTTTATATCCTCAGTGAGATAAAGATCATTGCCTTTAATTTTCACTTTGGATGTACACATTCTCAGAAGACTTTAGGATAGTTTTTTCCATTTTTCAGAGATTTATATTTAGTTAAGCACACAGCAGACTAAGGACATTCTTCAAATGTTTGTTTTAATAGTGAAAGCAAGTTGAATACATTGGTGCAGAAGCTTCATGATTTCCTGGCACATTCATCAGAAGAATCTGAGGAAACGTGTTCTTCTCCACGACTTGCAGTGAACCAAAGCACAGGTAAATTGAAAAAGAGTGTGGTATAACTTCGAGTCTGTTTTCATTTATTCTTTTATAAGGAGCAGCTATTCAACTTATAGAAAATTAGATTAACAAGTTTATAGAAACCTTATTGGGTATGTTTGCTAGTACCTGCTATAATGAGATTTTAATTTTGGTAAGTAAACATTAATTTTTTAAAGCGATGAATTCTTAGAGAATGAAACAATATGGTCTTATACATAATGGAAATTTCTGGTTGAGGGAGGTGATGAATAGACACTATTGGGAGCAGTAGGAGCAAGTATAGATTTCTTTTAGTAGTACTGGTGGTGGAACCCAGGTTCTTAAGCATTCTAGGCAAGTGACTACTGAGCTATATTCCTAACCCTGTATAGAAATTTTTTATTCTAGTAGTTACTCATGAGTTAGAAGTTAAAATTATTATGTTTAATATTACATTAATTAAGATATTATCTCTGAATAGAGCTGGGCACGGTGAATCACACCTATAATCCCAATAGTCAGTAGGCTATGATAAGAGGATGGCTATGAATTCAAAGCCAACCTGAATTACATAGTGAATTTCAGGTCAGTCTGGGCTACAGAATCAGACTCTGTCTCAAAAAAAAAAAAAAAAAGGGATTTGGTGACTATCTTTTTATAAAACAATACCTTTTCTTTTTCTTGCTCTTTTTGATACAGGGTCTCCCTGTAGCTCCAGCTAGCCTAGAACTCACTATGTAGATTAGGCTGGCCTTGAACTCATAGAGATCTGCTTGCCTCTGCCTCCTGCATGCTGGGATTAAAGGCATGTGCCACCATACCTGGCTATGCTTTACCAACCCTTTACTCCTTTGAAAAAAATTGTTGAGACAGAATGTTGCTGTAAATCCCAGGCTATCCTTGAATTTGTGATCTTCCTGCCTCAGCTTCTTGAGTACTGTGATTAACACTAAACTCCTTTTAAAAATGTCCTATATCAAGCATTGTGAATAGTACATACAGAGAGCAGAACAAACAAGTTCATGCATGTGTACACACACCTGTAGTACAGAAAATAGTTAAGATCACTCTGAAGAGCTCATCATGTGTCTAGTAAAAGTTCCAGAAGGACAGAAGGAAGAAAGTGACTCATAAGTCAAATTTGAAGATATATTAACTAAGCATTGTCTAAAAAGCTACAGATTGAAGAAGTGCTGTAACTCCTAGGCAGAGATTAATGCAAAGAAAACTAGAGTTAAGGCTGGGTGCAAGGTGACTCATCCTGTAAATCTCTTGCTGCAAAAGCTTGACAAACTGAGTTCAATCTGAGAACTCATATGAAGGTGGAAGCAGAGAATGGACTCCATACAGCTGCCTTCTGACCTCCACGTGTGACATATGGTGTGCATGTGCACACACACATGCACATGCACACACGCACATAAAAATAAGTAAAATTTTGAAAAAAAGAAAACTGCAGCTAGTCATAATCATATTTTCTTGAAGATCTTGAGGAACAAAAAACTAAGAGGAAATCTTGTAAGCACCTAGAGGAAAAATGATATTACTTCTGAAGGAACAACAATAATACCAATAGCTTAACCCCAGAAATGATGGAAAGCAGATAACACTCAAGTGATTTTTTTTTCTTTTACTTATTGAGACAGGGTAGCCTCAGATTCACCATTTTTTGAGCTTGGTCTCGAACTCCTGATCCTCTTGCCTCCACCCTTCAAGCTCTGGGGTTACAGGTGTATTCTACTACTTCTTGCTTTAAGTGATTTCTTAATAAGAAAAGTGTCAAATGAAAACAGTTGTTAATTTAAAAGGTACATGCCTTTAATCCCAGCACTTGGGAGGCAGAGGCAGGCAGCTTGGTAACATAGTGAGTTCCTAGGACTACAGGGAAACCCTGTCTCAAAAAGAAAAGAAAAGTTATTAATTTAAAATCCAGCGAAAACATTCTAAAAATATGAAAAGTAGAAAAAGATATCTCTGGACTAACAGAAAAAGATTTTGATGTCAATACCCTTCACTAGAGGAAATACCCCTAAACTAGGAGAAATTAAGGGTTTTATGAAATCAGAAGTCAAGTAATTTGAAGCAATACTAAAATATAGGAAGTAGTTAACACTGGAAAGGTTAAATAAATTGGCATAATTAGACTGTTACCTAATTCACAGTTCTTATTTTATAAATTGCCACATTAATTTTCATAGGTAAGGTTTTTCCTAAGTCCAGGATCTAGTTCACACAGATTGTATGTAGTTGACATGGCTCTTTAGTCTTTAAATTTTTTTATTGAACTTTTGTGTATTTCATACAGAACATCTCAATCTTAATCATCTTTATACCTCCTTCCGCACTGGCACACTCCCATACCCCTCCCACTGGAATTCATACATTCTGTCATTTGTTTTAAGGCCTATTGTGTCAAGTTAGTGTCCCCAGACATCCCTCAGTGCAAGTTCATCTACTGAGGTCTAGTCAGCCTACCCAGAGTCCCTCGTTTTACAAAGATCAGCTGTTCCTCACCCAGCAGTAATCAGTTACCAATATTTCTTCAGCTAAGATTGGGACCTGCTGTCCATTTACCCAGTTCTATGCTTAGTTTTTGACTGCTTGAGGTTTCGTGGGTCCTGTGCATGCTGTCAGCATTGCTGTAGGTTCGTATGAGCATGGTCCCAGGAGCTTGTAGGACTGTTTCCATATGGTCATGCACCTCCTCCCTGGCTCTTACAATCTTTCTGTTCCCTCTTCTGTAGTGGTCCCCGAGTCCTGGGTGGGTGTAGTTTAATATAGGAGTCCTGTCCAAGGACCAGCATTCTGCAGACTCTTAGCCTCTACACTTTGGTCATTTGTGATCTTTTGTGTTCCTGGCCCTCTGTTGCATGAGGGAGCTTCACTTTTATTTATTGGTACTGGAGAGATGACTCAGCAGTTAACAGCACTGGCTGCTCTTACAGAGAACCCAGGTTTGGTTCCCAGCACCCACATGATGGCTAACAACGCCAGTTCCAGGAGGCCTGATGCTCTCTTTGGGCATGTGACCTCTTCAGAGATCGCATGGCATGGATGCACTTAGATACATGCAGGCAGTATACTCATACACATTAAAAGTTATAAATATAGAAAATTATTTATTTTATATGTATGAGTATTTTGCCTGCATGTATGTAAATACCATTTGCATGCAATGTCCATGGAGGCCAGAAGAGGGCGTCAGATCCCCTAGAACTGGAGTTACAGGTGGTGGTTAAATGCATGTGGGTACTGGTAACTGAACCTGGTTCTTCTGCAAGAGCAGCCAATGCTCTTAACTGCTGAGCCGTCTCTCCAGCCCCCTCTTTGGTCTTTAAAACTGGAGATAGCTTCTCTATTAGCACTATGGCATTTTTGTACATCTCTTACTTAGTAGACTGGCCCTTAATATGGATTGTATGTTTAGTTATGATTAGATCCAGCGTATATATTTTTGGCAAAATTACTGCATATATTATATACTGCATATACCATATAGTATATGCGTCTGTGTTTTATCTCAAGGCAAGTGATCTCAATTGTCCTTTTATTGATGATGGTAAATTAGGTTATTTGATTATATTTGTGCTTGCCTGATAAAAGTTACAGTTCTTTTATAATTAATAATTGGATCAGGAAGATTTTGAAATTATTCTTTTTATCATCAAAATTTAACTTAATGTGTTTGCTATACCAAATGATTATAAATTAGGTGGCTTAAGTAACCCATATTTATCACCTTACAGTTCTTTAGATCAAGAAATCTGTTGGGCTTTCTGAACCTTCCTCAGGTTATCACAAAGTCAGAATTAAGTTGTCAGTAAGAAATCAAGGTGTTAAAAAACAAGAAAAAAGAACAAAGAGAAAGAAAGGAAGAAAGAAATTAAGGTGTTAGATAATAGTAAGACATTGTTCCTTTATGGTAGCTCTGGAAAAATGTGTTCCCAAACTCATTCAGGTTTTTGGCAGAATTCAGTTTTTTGGGCGTGTGTGTGTGTATACCTGTCTGTCTGTCTACATATAAATATATGTACTCGTAGCTTCTTTCACTTGTCTGCCCCTTTCTTCCAAGCCAACACAGCACATGGGGTCCATCTTATGCTCTGGATCTCTTTTTCTTACCCTTTGATCGTTGCTTCTCTTGCTTTTTGCTAACAAGTGGATAAAATTTTCTGTTTTTAAAATTTTTTCTTTACTTTTTCTTTAAGACATATCACTGTATAACTCTGGGTGGCTTCAACTCCAGAGAGCTATCTGCCGCTGGCGTGCTGGAATTAAAGGCATGAATCACTGTGCCAGGCCTCCCTAAAATTTTTGTTTTGAGACGCAAGTGATTAGATTAAGCTCCACCTCTTGCTTCTTCCTGATAGTCTCTCATTTTTTCAGGTTAACTATGCCACTTTATAAACAGTCGTGGGAGTGATACCATGATCACAGATTTTTGGGAACTGAGGGTGCGGAATCTTCTTGACTAATCCTAGAAATTCTTATATATCACAAGCTCTTAATTACCCGATGATTTAATACTACCTTTATTACTAAGGGAACAAGGGAGGGCTTTATTATTTATCCTCTGTATATATTTGTTACTATATGCTTATACTGCTTTTCATGAATATTGTTACTGTCATCTTAAAAATTGTTATTACGTTTAGTGTGTGCGTGTGTGTGTGTGTGCGTGTGTGTGTGTGTGTGTGTGTGTGTGTGTATTATCACACTTGTAGAAGTCAGAGGACAACTTGTGGGAGTCAACCATGTGGCACCCTAGGATCAAACTCAGTCAGGCTTGGCAGTAAGTGCTTTAACCAACTGAACCATCTTACCTGCTCCCATTATTTCTTTTTGTAAAATTTTATTATTTTTATTTTTATGTGTATGAGTATATTGCCTGCATGTATGTAAGTGCACCTGTGTCATGCAATGCCTATGGTAGTCAAAAGAGGGCATTGGATCCCTTGGAGCTGGAATTATGGATGGTTGTTAGCAGCCATATGGATGCTGGGATTTGAACCTCG